ACCAATCAGAAAGGATATATGCACCCCTATGTTCATAGCAGCACAATTTACAATGGCTAAGATTTGCAAACAGCCTAAGTGCCCATCAGCATATGAGTGGATTAGAAAACTGTGGTACATCTACACAATGGAATATTACACTGCTGTAAATAAGAAAGAACTCTTACCATATTCAACTGCATGGATAGACATGGAAAGTATTATGCTAAGCGAAATTAGCCAGTTGGAGAAAGATATATATCACATGATGTCACTCATTTGTGGAATATAATGAATAACATAAACTGATGAACAAAAATGGAGCCACAGGAAAAAAAAATATTTTAGAAAATAATACAAGTAATCCTGTATTTGTAGATTTTTAATATTTCCTACAACTTTTGTAATATTATACTATGTTAGTACAGTTTGGTAACATTATTATATTTAAATTATTTTTCTTGAAATATTAATGTTTATTATATATAATATTATTATATTTAAAATTGTTTTTCTTGGAAAAAATAGCTGGCAGTAAATAAATAAAACAGACTCCTTGCAAAATGCAGCAGCTAAATAACACATAGATGCTATAGATGATATAATTGCAGTACATGTGTCGTCTTACAGGGGTATTGTAGACCAACTGTACCAGTGTGAGACATGGAAACTTATTAGAAATGCAAATTGTAGGCTCCACTCCAGACCCACTGTATCAAAATCTGGGGGAGGGTTAATCAATCTGTGTTCAGGTGATTCTGATGCATGCTAAAGCTTCAGAAGCGCTAGTTTTAAATGAAACTTGTTCAAAGCCCAGCTTCCATATAGATCAACGATGATATAAAACCATTATAAGCAAAAGCAGTAACAAGAGGGAAATTTATTACAGGCAATCTCAAGAAACAAGAGAATTCCAAGTAAATAACTTACCATTACATCTTAAAGAACTAGAAAAAGAAAACATCCCGAAGTCAGCAGAAGAAAGGAAATAATAAAAATTACAGCAGAATTGAATGAAATAGAGAACAAAAAGACTATACAAAATATTAATAAAACAAAGATCTGGTTCTTTGAAAAATATTATTAAAATTGACAAACCCCGGCTAGACTAAGAAAAAAATGTGTAAAGTCCCATATAAACAAAATCAGAAATGAGAGAGAAGTCACCACAGACATACAAAGGATCATACTAAAATATTATGAAAGACTATATGTCACCAAATTCAATAACCTAGAAGAAATGGGTAACTTTTAGAAATATATAACCTTCCTAGACTAAATCATGAAAAATTGGAAAATCTAAATAGACCGATCAGCAGTGAGGAAATTGAAACAACCATCAAAAACCTCCCAAAAAATAAAAGTTCAGGAACAGATGGCTTCACCAGTGAATTCTACCAAATGTTCAAAAAAGATTTGAAACCTATCTTTCTCAAACTCTTCCAAAAAGTTGAACAAGAGGCAATACTTTCTAACACATTTTATGCGGCCAATGTAACCCTGATACCAAAACCTGGCAAGGGTAACATAAAAAAATGAAAACTACAGACCAATATCTCTGATGACTACAGATGAAAGAAATCCTAAACAAAATACTAGCAAATCAAATACAACAGTACATCCAAAAAATAATACATCATGATCAAGTGGGGTTCATTCCAGGGGCAAAAGAATGGTTCAACATATGCAAATTAATTAATATAACATACCACATTAACAAAAGAAAGGATAAAAATAATATGATCTTATCAATAGATGAAGAAAAAGCATCTAATAAGATAAAACATCCATTTATGATTCAAACACTCAGTAAAATAGGAATAGAAGGAAAGTACCTCAACATAATAAAGGCCATAAACCCTCAGCTAATATTATATACAATGGTGAAAAACTGAAAGCTTTCCTCTTAGATCAGGAACAAGATAAGGATGTCCACTCTCACCACTCTTATTCAACATAGTTCTGGAAGTCCTAGCCAGAGCAATAAGGCAAGAGAAAAAAATAAAAGGCATGCAAATAGGGAAGGAAGAAGTAAAACTGTCACTTTTTGCAGATGATGTGATTCTGTATATAGAAAACTCCAAAACTCACCAATAAAACACAACTATTAGAAATAATAAACAAGTACAGTAAAGTTGCAAGTTACAGAATCAATGTACTGCCTTTCTGTATAGTAACAACAAAACTTTAGAAAAAGAAGGGGGAAAAATTCCTTTTGCAATTGCAACGAAAATAATAAAATACCTAGGAGTAAACTTAACAAAGAACATGAAAGACCCATATACTGAAAATTACAAAGCATTACTAAGAGATTGAAAAAGACACAACAAAATGGAAAAATATCCTGTGTTCATGGATTGGAAGAATCAACACAGTTAAAAAGGCCATATTACCCAAAGCAAAATACAGATTTAATGCAATCCCCATCAAAATCCCAATGTCATGTTTAAAAGAAATAAAAAGAGAAATAACCAGATTTGTTGGAACCATAAAAAAACCCAAATAGCCAAAGAAATCCTGAGAAAAAAAGAATGAAGGTGGAGGTATCATACTACCTGACTTCAAATTATACTACAGAGCTACAATAATCAAAACAGCATGTTATTGGCAGAGAAACAGACACACAGAGCAATGGAACAGAATAGAACCAAATGTATATGGACAAATAATTTTCAACAAAGGAGCCAGAAATATATAAAGGAGTAAAGATAGTCTCTTCAATAAATGGTGCTGGGAAAACTGGAAAGCTACATACAAATGAATGAAACTGAATTACAGTTTGTCCCCATGTTCAAAAATTAATTCAAAATGGATCAAAGATCTAACTATAAGACAGGAAACAATAAGTTACATAGAAGAAAATATAGGTACCAAACTTATGCACCAGGTAATAGAGAACATTTTATGAATTTGACCTCAAAGGCAAGGGAAGTAAAAGCAAAATTAAATGAATGGGACTATATCAAACTAAAAAGCTTCTGCACAGCAAAAGAAACTGAGAACAAAACAAAGAGTCAGCCAACCAGATGGGAGATGATATTTGCAAACAGAAACTCCAACAAAGGTTTAATTTCCAAAATATCTAAAGAACTCATAAAACTCAACACCAAACAAAAAACCAAATCAAAAAGTGGGCAGAGGACCTGAAAATACACCTCTCCCAAGAAGACACAAGAACAGCCAATCCTATCTAATAAGGATGGAATATGCAAATTGACCATCACTTCACAACAAAGATGGTGACACCCACAGTCAATAAGGAGGGAATATGCAAATTGACGCAACAAAGATGGTGGCAGCCGGGTCGGGATGCTTGCATCGTTGCTATGGTGACAATGCAGGCATTCCACCTTGCCCCGGCTGCTCTGGGCCTCTGGGCAGCGCGTGAAGACAGAAGGTGGCTCCAGCCAGAGCGAAGGTGGTGCCCGCAGCCAGGGGAAGGAAGGCCTATTCTTGCACGAATTTTCGTGTGTTGGGCTTCTGGTAGATATATGAAAAGATGTTCAACCTCACTGGTAATTAGGAAAATGCAAATCAACACTACAATGAGATACCACCTCACATTTGTTAGAGTGGCCATTATCAACAAAATACGCAATAACTAGTGTTGGAGAGGTTGTGGAAAAAGGGGAACCCTCATTCACTGCTGGTGGGAATGTAGATTGGTGCAACCACTATGGAAAGCAGTCTGGTGATTCCTCAAAAAATTAAGAATAGAGCTATCATACAATCCAGTAATTCCTCTCCTGGGTATATACCCAAAAAACTCAAAAACATGAATGTGAAAAGATATACCCCTATGTTCATTGTAGCATTATTCACGGAGGTTAAGACATGGGAACAACCAAAGTGTCCTGTGACAGAGAAGATGTGGTACATATACGCAAGGGAATACTAGTCAGCCATAAGAAAAGATGAAATGGCGCCATTTGCAACAACATGGATGGACCCTGAGAATATTATGCTAAGTGAAATCAGTCATAAAAAGCTAAGAACCACATGATTTCACTCATGTGGGATATAAAACTGAAACTCATGAAAACAAACAGCAGTGTGGTGGTTGCCAGAGTGAAGGGGATAGGAGGTCCCAATATATAGTGATAGGAGAAGATTTGACTTTGGGTGGTAGGCACATAGAGCAATATACAGATCTTGTAACACAGAAACCCATACCTGAAATCTATATGATCATATTAACCAATGTCACCTCAATAAGTGTAATAAAAAAAGGAAAAATAAAATAAAACCATTATAAGATGTGATGGGATTAGCACATTATTTATGACAATAACATGCATATGCATAATGAAAAAGAAATTAAGATTATTTTCTTTGTGAACTAAACTTTATATGGTGTTTGAATATATAACTGAAGGGTGTTTAATATATAAATGAAGGGATTTAAAAAGATCTGTGTTTAAACTGTTTCAGATAAAATCTGAAATAAGTATATAGCCATTAACATGTAGTCAGCATTATACTACTTTGAGCTACACTGATAAATAAACAGACATGCATCTGTGGCTATTAACAAACAAGTTGAAAATTGGCTATACTGTACACCTCATTCACTAATTCTTTCATCATATAAAATCATGTCACCAAAAAATGTGGCCCTTCTAAACAAATCATAATTAGAACAAGTCATGTCAGTCACCATCTATTTAATTACCACAACTAGAGGCTCTCCTAATAATAAAGGCAAATACAGCTTTAGTACAAGAGCCATCATTTCAAGTTTGCTTTTTATTTGAGTTATAAACTAAAGGTTAGTTCTCTGGTCTAAAGCCATTTTAAGAACAAGATGAAATATGTTGGCATTATTAGAAAGCTATCAAAATCTCTGCTACTCTTTCCACTAGGCTTCAATTTGTATAAAAATACTTTCAGACACAACAGCTTTTTTAAGGACATTAATAAAAGGCAGTCCTAGTTTAGGGACTGATGAGCAATCTACTCCCTTGTCAAAAACTGTATCAAATTGATTTAAAAGCAATATCCTGATTGCTCATAGAACCTACCTGTCTACAGGTGAAGGTTTGGAATTCCGTGACTTCTTTACTTGGGCATACAAAGCATCCATCATATGTCCTTCTCTTGGGCTTTGGGGTCTGGCATTGAGAGCCATGGAACCCTCATAGGAAGAAATTCCCCCATACATCAACTCATCATCACAGCCAAGTGTCCGATGAAAATCTTGAATTTCAGCATAGTCACGTTCCCGAGCTTGTCGTTCTCTAAATTCTCGAGTTTTGGCTTGAATCCTGTAAAATTAGAGCAAAGTTGACATAAGAAAAGCTATGTCTTCTCTAAGACCTGCATATAGAAACAGTCATCAAACTATGTTGTAAAATACATTTTATTTCATGCAGTATATGAAAATTTATGGTATAAACAGTGTTATATTCATTTCAGACTATCAAGGTAATGTCATGGATGCTCAAAAATAATAATGTTAGATAGCTTTTGTTAATGTGAGTACTGTATAGTCATGATGTACACCTTAATTTAAATCGTCCCTTATTAAGTAGATTTAAAAATCCACAAAGAACAGAGAGTTTTAGGCATCTAATTAGGTTTTCCTCATGAACTTCTGTAAGGCAAGAAGTGATTCTTAAAAAGTTACTGCCCCCGCCACAAACACAAACTATCCTATCTAATAAAGAGGGAATATGAAAATTGACCGTCACTCTGTCACAAAGATGGTGGTGCCCAAGGCCACAAGATGCTGGTGCCCAGGCCCCTCAGCCCTGCCAGAGTCCCCCCGTCCTTTCAGCACCACCTGGGTGGGTGGCAGGCACACGGTGTGGCCATACCCGACCTTAGCCCCCCAGCCGCCCAGGGCCAGCCTGAGGCGCAGGCAAGCCTCGGATGGAGGCTGCCCAGCTGCCCAGGACAGGCCCAAGGCACAGGCAAGCCTTGGATGGCGGCTGCCCAGCTTCCCAGGGCCGCCCGAGGCTCAGGTAACCAGGGTCGGCCAAGGCTTGCACTGCCAGCAGTGGCAGCAGCAGAGGTGTGATGGGGGTGTTGCCTTCCCCTGATCGCCGGGTCGCCTCCCGCCCCTAAGGGCTACCGGACTGTGAGATGGGGCAGGCCAGGCTGAGGGACCCCCCCCTCCATGCACTGGGTCTCTAGTACACACACACACACACACACACACACACACACACACACACTAGGGGCCCAGTGCATAATATTTGTGCACTGGGGTGCGGGTCCCTCAGACTGGCCTGTGCTCTCTCACAGTCCGGGGAACCCCTTGGGGGATGTCCGACTGTCAGGGAGCAGGCCTAAGCCGGCAGTCGGACATACCCCCGAGGGTTCCTCAGTGCTGCTGTGGAGGTGGGAGAGGCTCCCGCCATGCTGCTGTGTTCGCCAGCTGTGAGCCCAGCTTCTGGCTGAGTGATGCTCCCACAGGAGGAGCTCCTGAGTTGAGCATCTGCCCCCTGGTGGTCAGTGCATGTCATAGCAACTGGTTGTTCCACTGTTCGGTTGATTTGTATATTAGCCTTTTATTATATAGGATATATATATATATATATATATATATATATATTTATATATACACACACACACACACACACACACACACATATATGTATATATATATATGCATACATTTATGTCTGAGCACAATAATGTATATGTCTTACTCATTATAAATATATCATACACATTCAATATAGTGATAGGAGCTTAAACATGAATCTACAACATGATTATTAGGAGCAAAAGATCAATAAAATTTGGCTGTGTTATAACTAAGAAAGTGACCTTAAATAACTACTTCCATTTAGAATGAATTGAAATATTTCCTAAGATTTTATTAAGCTACTTGGTATAAAGTTCTCTTCAACTAAGGAGATATTGATATAAGTTATTCTAAGTCAATCTTACTTAGCTAAAAATAGAATTTTGATAATTTTTCATTATTTTTGCTGCAAAAATATTTTTGATAATGTTTAATGGGGAAAATACAAATGTAAAAATATATTTTAAAATTATCTCATTTAATAAAACAATATTTTAGACTGAGTTTAATGTTTTATTGCAAAATTATTTACTTCTTTCATATTTGAAATAAACCACTGCTTGCATAAATGACACATAAATATATATTCAAAATAATACAGAAAAGATATAAACATGAGATAAAGACAGTACATAAAAGATAAAAGGAAATCACAGGAGAGAACCCTGATACCTGAGGTCTGAAAATGGAGACTGCATAGAGACTGGTAGGAGGGGCAGGGGTGCAAAAGGGCTGGCTGGGTGCCCACAGACAGCAAGTGAAGTCCCAGAGAGATATCTCAGCTGTGTGTGTGTGTGGGGGGGGTGCCACTGAGAACTCTGGGATCTAATACCCAAGCTGGGCTTCCCAGCAGAGCACCAAATCTGAGGAGGGTACCCACATAACATCTAGCTGCGAAAAGCAGCAGAATGCTGTCTGCCAGGGAGTGGCAGCTGAAAGTTCAGGCACCCTCTTGAAGAGCCAACGCACAAAAATGCCCTGTGGAGCCACCCACCTTGTGCTCTGACAGAGGGAGGGTAAAGTGAACTGGAGCTGTGACAGCAGAACCCAGAACTGGGACTCCGGGAATAGAGCTCAGAAGGCAGACACACCAAGTTTCCTGGGCTGAGTCATTCCCTCATGCAGTGGAGGACATCTTTCCCACATAGACATTTGCCTTGCTGAGGGAAGACAGTTGACACACCCTATTGGAAAACACCTTGCCCTGAGGCTACTTAAGAGATTAAAAATAACAATTATCCTCCAGTCAGAAGCAACTGTGTCACCCTGTTGAAAAAACTCTAGGATGATTGCCTAGGGGAATTCAAGTCAGGATCCTATTAGTCTGTAAACAGAGGCAGTCTCTGGAGGTTTTGAGTCTTTGCCTGATCTAATTAGTCAGAAACAGTCTTTAACACTGTCCTGCACTAGAGATTGAGAGGTGTAGAGGATGTACCTAAAACAGTGATGGCGAACCTATGACACGCGAACTCATTTTTTTGGTTGATTTTTCTTTGTTAAATGGCATTTAAATATATAAAATAAATATCAAAAATATAAGTCTTTGTTTTACTATGGTTGCAAATATCAAAAAATTTCTATATGTGACATGGCACCAGAGTTAAGTTAGGATTTTTCAAAATGCTGACACGCCGAGCTCAAAAGGTTCGCCATCACTGACGTAAAACATAGTCACAAACCCAAAAAGACAACCAAAATAAGGAGACAAAGAAATGACCCCCAAGTGAAAGAACTAGAGACCTCTCCAGAAAAAGAGATAAATGAAGCAGAGATAAGAAATTTATCTGAAACAGAGTTCAGAGTAATGATAGTAAAAATGCTCAACAGTATGAAAAAAGATATAGTAACTATGAAAAAGAACAGTCTGAGATAAAAAATGACATAACACAAATAAAGAACACATTGGGAGGAATACACAACAAATTAGGGGAAACTGAGCATAGACTCAGTGAATTAGAACACAGAGTTGAAAATATCACTCAATCAGAGAACCAAAAAGAAGAAATAATTTTAAAAAACAGGAAGACAGCTGAAGGGAGCTGTGGAACAACATGAAACATAACAATATTAGAATAGCAGTGGGTCAGAAGAGGTAGAAAGGGAGAAAGGAATAGAGAACATGTTTGAAGAAATAATGGCAGAAAGCTTCCCTAACCTGGTAAAGAAAAAAGTCACACAAGTTCAGGAGGCACAGAGAACCCCAAACAGACCCATGCCCAGACACATCATAATTAAGATGCCAAAAATTAAAGACAAAGAGAGAATCTTAAAGGCAGCAAGAGAAAAGAAAACCGTTACCTGAAAGGGCGAGGGCTAGGCCCTCCATCTTGCCCCAGGGTAAGGGCTAGGCCCTCCATCTTGCCCCAGGGTAAGTGCTCCATCTTACCTTGGCCACGTGCTTGGCAAGGAGCTTCTTCCCGGAAGTCTAAGCCTCTGCTAGCCACACCCAGGAACAAGAAACCGACTTGTGCCTGGCCAATCGGCAGAGCACAGTCCTTTCTCCTCCCCTTACTCCAACCCCCCTATAAAACCCGTCTCCACACAGAGTTATCTCTCTCTGCTTCCTGTTGCTGCGTCGGCAAGGTGGGGGAGCCGAGCTAGACCACCAACTTACATCATACACAAGAATAAACTCAAAATGGATAAAGGACTTAAATGTACAACAGGAAACCATAAAAATTCTAGAAGAATCCAAAGGCAACAAAATCTCAGACATATGCCAAAGCAATTTCTTCACTGATACAGCTCCTAGGGCAGTTGAAACTAAAGAGAAAATGAACAAATGGGACTACATCAAAATAAAAAGCTTCTGCACAGCAAAAGAAACCATCAACAAAACAACAAGAAAACCCCACTGCGTGGGAAAACATATTTGCCAACATCATATCTGATAAGGGCCTAATCTCCAAAATTTATAAGGAACTCATACAACTTAACAAAAAGAAGATAAACAATCCAATCAAAAAATGGGCAAAGGATCTAAATAGACACCTTTCAAAAGAGGACATTCAGAAAGCCAAGAGACATATGAAAACATGCTCAAAGTCACTAATCATCCGAGAGATGCAAATCAAAACAACAATGAGGTACCATCTCACACCTGTCAGAATGGCTATCATCAACAAATCAACAAATGACAAGTGCTGGAGAGGATGTGGAGAAAAAGGAACCCTTGTGCACTGCTGGTGGGAATGCAGACTGGTGCAGCCACTATGGAAGACAGTATGGAGTTTCCTCAAAAAACTGGAAATGGAACTCCCATTTGACAATAAATTTACTTTCTACACTCTAACCCAACGATCCGGAACCATCTCATAACGTTACGGGA